ACGGCACCTCAGGTGACAAAGAGAAGACATTTGTGCTGAAGAAGTGGAACTGCTGTGCGATGTGGTCGTGGGATTGCGAGTGCGACACGTGTGCCATATGTCGGGTGCAAGTGATGGACGCGTGTCTGCGGTGTCAGTCGGAGAGCCGATCGGACGACTGTGTGGTTGTTTGGGGCGAATGTAACCACTCTTTCCATAACTGTTGTATGAGTTTATGGGTTCAGCAAAACAATAGGTGTCCGCTCTGTCAACAGGACTGGACTGTTCAGCGCATCGGCAAATAGTGGCCAAGGTTGTTTGGGGCGAATGTAACCACTCTTTCCATAACTGTTGTATGAGTTTATGGGTTCAGCAAAACAATAGGTGTCCGCTCTGTCAACAGGACTGGACTGTTCAGCGCATCGGCAAATAGTGGCCACACATTGTCACCACAACTGGTCACCTCTTCTCCACCCCTTCCCACACCCCGTTTGGACACTATTTGTCATTACATATGGAGAACACAATTCAATGACATTTCTATCGTTGATTAAAATGCAAATTAAGTTTAAGTTTTAAAGTTTTATTTATTAATTGCATAAATTGTGTGCATTTTCTTCAATCCAAACCATACAATGAGTTAATAATGAGTTTTAATGTATTGATTATATTATAAGTAGATTTATAATAGAATTATAAGTAAATAATTATTTCTTTTGATTTAAATATTGATTAATACTTTCGGCGATTTTATCAAACGCTAAATCGTCGGGATTTTCGTCCACTTTCTCGAAGTTTAACTTTCCTTCTAATCCCTAATACAATGGAAAAGCAGATTATAATTAAAACCAACAAATAATAAGTATTTCTAATGAATAATACCTTTTCGGGCAGAAAATATGAGTCCTTAATCCGGTCGGTAATGTTGTCGTCAATATTGCCATCAATTGATTCAAAGGGTTTAATAATGAGTAATTTGCCGCTCATTTGTAGATACTTTTTGCCGACACTGAACTTCATTTGTTTCAATTTAGTCTTCATATTCAGCCGATAAGTGGTAAACAGTTTCGCCCTTTTGAACGAATTCCTGAGAATTTCGTCCAAATGTTTACTCATAAGACTTTTGCCGACAAAGTCTTTGATTTCAAAACTAAGTTTATTGAGTTTTGTGTCCACATC